CCCCAGCTCCTGCCCCATGTCCTTTCCTGTGTTCTATACCTCCTCATAGCCAGCAAGCAGTAGCCTTTGTGACATGGAAGTCAGGATCCATGACTGGATTGATGGGTGGGGTCATTGGGGGAGGAGCATGGCCTGTTCTGGCTGCCCAGGACCCACAGCCCTCTCCACCTCCACAGCTTGCTGACAGGACCGAGTCCCTGAACCGCTCCATAGAGAAGAGGTGTGTCTGTCCCCAGGATTCTCAAGAGGGGGTGGAGACCTGGGACCTGGGGCGTTCCAAGAGGGTCTCAAGGTGGGCTGGGAGGACGGACGGGGACGTGAGGCTCATCCCTCCTACCCTCCAGTAACACTGTGAGGAAGTCCCAGCCAGCCCTGCCCATCGCCAAGATCGACGAGCGGCTGGAGCAGTATACCCAGGCCATCGAGGTACGCCTGCCCGCGGGCCCTGTGCCCTCCACCCCTGGTAGACTTTCCCTGCCACCAACACCCTGTCTCCAGCTGATACTCCTCCAGTCAGTGATAGAGGTCTGGTCAGAGCCATTACTGGACCCATGTCTCCCTGTCCAGCTGATACCCTTTCATCCAACCCACACCCCTCTGTCCAAACAAACCTCCGTGCCGCCAGTGACCCTCCACACCACACGGATTCCTCTAGCCCCATCCCACGAGCAGGTGAAGACAGACCCCGGATGTCTCCCGTGCCTTGGGCTCCCGAGTGCTTCAGGACCCGCGCACCGTGGGAGGGGGAGCACCCGTTCCTGCAGGCCGTGGGGAAGACTGAACCGCCCAGCGTGCCCCATGGTGGCTGTCCACTAAAGCTACCCTGGGGCTCTGTCTCCTCCGCAGTCTGYAGGCCGGACGCCCAAACTCTCCCGCCAGGCCTCCATAGAGTTGCCCAGCATGGCGGTGGCCAGTACCAAGAGTCTGTGGGAGACCGGAGAGATGCAGACTCTGTCTTCTGCCAAGACCCCCTCCTGCAAGGTAGGGCCCCTCTGCAGGCCGAGCAGAGCTGGGAAGGCAAAGCCTGGCGGGAGGTAGCAGCAGAGGTCCCTGGAAGAGCCAGTGTGTGGCCACTCAGGTGAGGGAGGGAGGGCCGAGGGCTGGCCTGTGGAGAAGCCCTGTGGGAGGTGGTGTGGAGAAGGCCGGGCCAGCGGTCGAAGCTCCCCCCGGGTCTCCCTCGAGATGCGAGGTAGGCAGGTCCCCTTGACCAGGTGAGACCAAGCCAAAGAGAAGGGCCAGGGCTGCCAGCCCCATGGCCTGGGTCTGCCCGTGACTGCCCCCTTGTCTGCCCAGGATATCGTAGCCGGAGACATGAGCAAGAAGAGCCTCTGGGAGCTCAGAGCAGACCCCACGCCCTCATCCTCCACCAAGGTAGGGCCTGAGGTGACCGCAGAGGCCAGGCCAGGCGAGGCGGGCTGCCCTGGTGGGCCGATGGCCTCCCTTTCTCCCCTCTCCCTTTGACTTGGCCTTCTTCCCCCACAGGCCACCCCCTCTGGAAAGAGGTACAAGTTTGTGGCCACCRGACACGGGAAGTACGAGAAGGTCCTGGTGGACGAGGGCCCGGTACCCTAGGGCCTGCGTCTCGGTGAGTCCAGGGTGGTGACGAGTGTCGGGTGTGAAACGTGGGAGAGTCCAGAGGGAGCGGGGCCCACTGGCCATGTCTCAGGCCGTGAGGCTGAGGCCTGGGGCTGAGGGCCTGGCCTCCCGGCTAGCCGAAGCTCAGAGCCAACTCAGCCTCTGGCCCCTGGCAGACTTGGCCCCGGGTCTCACACCAGCCTGGAACTGTCCATCACGGTCAGGATGGCTCAGCCACCTCAAAGTGCCCTTCAGGAGTCCCCTGTGACCCGGGGGTCCTCCAGAGAGGAGAGGGCGGCCTGGCCACTGTGGGACCTAGAGCTGGTGGGATGGAGCCCCCAGGAGAGTGCCCCTGAGCACCCAGGCACTGAGGATCTTAAAGGAGCAGAACCTGTGTCTCCCCCTCCCACAGGCCCCTGGAGGGTTCTGCTGCCCTCCCCGTCCAGGTAGAGACAGAGCGACACCATGGCTGGGCACACATTTATTAGTGGCCTGGGTCCCAGGCTCCATTCACAGTCCACTTCCTGTCCCTCACCTGTGTCCCTCCCCTGCTTCCCAGGGCTGGGGCTGGAGGCCGCTGCCAGGCTGTGGGACGGGCTCAGGGCCCAGCCAGGGAGCCCCTCCAGTGCCCCCGCCCACCAGCCCCTGTCAGCACTGTGTCCCTGCCCCTCTCTTCCATCAGAGGCCCCCAGCCCTGGTGGCCCTCCTCCGGCCACCCTGCTCCCAGGGCCAGCCCGCTGCACCTGGCCTGCCCTCCCAGGCCCCTCAGGACCAGCGGCATGCTGACCAGCTGCCAGGGCCAGTGCTGGCTCCCCCTTGACCAGCAGAGGGAGGGGGCAGTAGGGCTGCCCGACAGGAGGCACAGGCCACCTCTCCTGTCTCCCCCCAACCCCACGCCGACCCTGAGGTGTACCTCCTCYGCCTCCCCACACTGCTGAGACTGCCGCTGCCCCTCGCTGCATGCTCTGCACCCCTTCCCCAAATGTCCTCACCGCTCCTGTCCCCTCGACCTGCCCCAACCACCCACTGGACTCCGGGCCTGCCTCCCCAGCCCCTGACGTACAYTGTCCTCCTGCACCTCCTTCACAATGGCCACGGCCTCCCCGAGCCTCAGCCTGTCCGCCTCCTCCTGGGCCTGGGTCCCAGGGGACCACTCTGCCCCTCACTGGAGCCTCCAGCCTGCTGCCGTCCGATTGAAGTTCTTGGGTTGGGGGCTCAGCTCCAGGTTGGAGTGGAAGGAGGGAGGGGGCCGGGTGGTCTCCTGCAGCTTCCGGGCATTGAAGCGAGGCCGGTATAGGAAGGGCAGGCGGGCAAGACCAGCTGGGGGGCAGCTCCCACCCCCAGGCCCCGCCAAGCAGCCACGGGACTCGGCCACGGACATGCGGTACAGCACGGCATCCCACATTCTGGAGGCCCGGGAGGCAGGTGGCCGGGGACCAGCCACAGCGGGCACCACTGGCTGCGTGGACCCCAGGCTGGGCTCCGGCTCTGGGAACGAGGGATCCTCTGCATCCTCCATCAGCTGCTTCTTGAGGCGCGTCCAGCCGCTGAGCCGCGGCTTGGGTGCAACTTTGGGGGCAGGGCCTGGGTGGGGACCCGATGGCAGGGCCAGGGATGAGCTTCCCAGGGGCCTGGAGATCCTCTCAGCCTCTAGAACAGGGCTGGACCGGGGAGGCCCCTCCGGGCACTCGGCCTCAGGGGCCACAGCGGCCAGGGGTCCGGGAGAGCGGTAGGTGGGGGCTATGGGCACCACCACCCTGGTGCTGGCCTCTCTGGAGGCTGAGGCCTGGAAACTGCAGGGTGGCCTTGCTACAGAGGGCCCCTCGGGTCCAGGGCTGGCCTCCTGGGTCCTGGCAGGCAGCGGGCGGATGTGGGCCACGGGGATCAGAGACTGGGCACTGTGGGTGACTGGAGCCGTGTCCCCATCCTGAGCCCTGGACCCCCCCTCGGAGGCTGTCTTGAGAGGCTCAGGGGCTGCGTCATGTGGGGACGGTGTCAGCTGGATGAGCACACGGGTGATGTGTGTGCCTCCCGATTTGGGGGCTGAGACGGGGGCAAAACCACTGGGCAGTCGTGTAGGTTCTGGGGCCAGGGCTTCGGGCCTGGGAGGGGCCTCCCCATGTGTGGCCAGCGCCCTGTGCTCCGTGAGGCTGAAGGAGAAAGCTGGCCTCTGCTGGGGTGAGGCCACGTGGAGGATGATGGGCGTGTGCGGGGAGCGCGGCAGGGGTGCTACCGTGCGCCGGGCCTCAGTGGCACAWGGGGTGGTGGGCTCCAGGTCATGGCTGGCCTCACTCACAGGGGACAGGGAGGCGCGGAAGGCTCCGGGCGGGGCGGGGGCAGCCCCTGCCATCTTCTTCCGAGCTGCCTTCCTCAAAAGCTTCTGCAGACGCAGGTTGTCCTTCCCTGGCTTTGGCAGCAGGGGTGGTGGAGGTCCAGGGGGCCTCTGGGGGCTGGGGCCACGGGCCTCCAGGRTCACTGAGGCGGCTGAAATGAGCATCGCTGCACCCTGCATGGGAGGAACCCTGCTCAGGCTGGCCTCCCGCCCGGCCCGGTGGGGGGCGCGGAGTCTCTGGTCACCCCGCCGGCCTGGGGATGAGGAGTCCCCCCCAGCAGCTTTCCGGAGCCCCGAACTTGCCAGATCCTTCTAGGCCTGGGCATCCGTGACTGTGGGGGGGCGGGAGCCGGGCGGTCCCTGGGGCTGAMGAGGGGCCAGGCTGGGGTGCCGCACAGGGCAGGACAGGAGACCCACTTGTGCGCCCTCGGGGAGGCCCCGCGAGGGTGGGAAAAGCAGGCTGCCCGCAGACACGTGAGGGGCGCCAGACCGACGCCGGCCTGACCACAGGCGCGTCCGTCCACTGCGAGCCAATGGTGAGGGGAGGCGGCCAAGAGGCCCGGGGAAGCTGAGGCCGCCTGGCAGAGGCAGGTTGGCTGGAAGGTGGGAGCGGATTTCGCTGAGCTGTGCTGAACGGGTACTCCTGCAGACCGCCGAGCCGGGTGGTCCTGGCCAAGCTACCCGCCTTGGTTTCTGGGCGCCACGAGTTTGCAAGGACGTTGACAAATGGCATCTGGGCCGAGCCAGAGGCTGTCTGGTTTGGGGAGGAGGGAGGCCCCGCTTCCGCAGTGGGGCTGGCTCTGCAGAGGCGAGAGCCCGTCGGCCTGAGGCGGGGCTGGGGGGGTCTGCCCGGCGCGCTCCCAGCCTCTGGCTGCCTCTAGACAGCCGGCCTGTGGAACCGGAGCCTCAGGTCCAGCTCTCGGGGGCTGCTGGGGTGGGTGGGCAGGCCAGCCGGGCCCAGATCCGGGCCTCAGAGTCCACCCAGGGTGCCAGTGTCCTAAGAGGCTGCAGCAGGTGCCTCTGACACRGGAGGAGTGTGGGCCCGGCCAGGCAGCCACCAGAGACAGAGGCAGGGGTCACAGAGCCAAGGCCTGGCGGGGCGGGCTGTAGCCCGTTCTCGGGTCCACACTGATGCTTCCCATGCTCCACACCCGTGTTTTGGCAGGTACACACCAGAAGCACCTCTGTGTCCCCAGACTCACCAGCCCCCGGCCCTGGCTAAGAGACTGCTTCCTGTTGCCACTGTAGCCTGACCTTGTCCCTCTGACAGCTTCACTGCTGTCACCACCCCCTTTTGCTTCTGGACCCTCCAACCCCTATCCCACCCCACTGATCCCCCAGCTCTGCCTCTGGCATCTCGGAGGAAAGAGCTTCCTGACCGTTGGCTCAATGGCCCATGCCCTGGAAAGGCTGAGCCTTCCCAAGGAAGGCCAGAGATGGAGGCCGGTCACCCGCCACACAGCAGGAGCCCTGCGCTGGGAGGACACGGCCTCACACCCTTCCCTGCTCTGCCTTCGGAAGACCCACTCTGTACAATAAAGTTCCTTGAGCAGCCCCCACGCTGGCCTCCTGTGCTCTCTGACGGGAGGGATGGGGAGTGGGACTGGCCAGGACAGAAGGACCGTACTAGTGGGCCAGTCCCCCTGATGGCACAGCACATTGGGTCTGGATTCAAGCACTGAGTTCTGCCCCATGGCCTTCTGCAACAGCCAACTTCAGAGTCTGAGCTGTGGGGTGGCCTAAGTTGGGGTACGCACGATGGATGGGGTCCCACATGCCTTTTCTGGAACGTCTATGACACCCACCCCCTGACTGACCCCATACAAACCTCATAGCACCGGCACCAGTGCATTCTGGTCTACGCCCAACGGTGCAGCCCTGGGGGGCCAGAGTCAGCCAGCACCGCCCAGTACTCAGCAGGTGCTCAGTGAGGTGGACAGAGGATGGGTAGATGGATAGATGGGTGAATGGAAGGGTGGATGGTCAGACAGGTGGATGGATGGGTGTATTGGTGTATGTATCAATGAGTGGATGGATGGGCAGACGGATGGATGGATATGGATGATGGATGATGGATAAATATGAATGAGCAGAAAGGTGGTGGGTGGATGGATGGATGGGTAAGTAGGTGGGAAGTAGATGGGTGGACAGAAGGACGGGGAGAAGGCCAGTGGACCTGAGAGGAGGTGAGGCGAGCACTTGGCTGGCTGCGGGTGGGGTGTCCTCCCCGCACTCCCCGCTCATGCTGGACTGCACTCCGGCCTGACGTAGCCCCGCTCCCTCAGTGACTGGGGAGCCCCGGGGCCCTGCTTGGCTCCGGTCTGACCCTGCCACTCGCTCCGCCATCCAGGGCCTCCACTTTCTGAAGCTGCCTCACAGAATCCCACAGCATCTCAAGTTCAAGCTCAGGGGGTACAGCTGCCCAGGCCAGGAGGCGGTGTGGCCACTGTCCCTTTTGCTCACAGCTCCACCATGGAGAAAGCCAGCAGGGCCACACCCTGCCCTCCAGGGCCCCCCCCCCCTTCCTTCCTGCTCAGTCTGATGGGCTGGTGGCCAGGACAGCTGGCTGAGGCCACCCCAAAGTCCACAGTGGGCAGGGAGCTGGACATGAGCAGAGGACCAGGCCCTGGAGGCAGGAGGGTCATAGCTGCCAGGCTCCCCTGACCGGCCCGACCCCTTGGCTGAGCCTCAGGGTTGAGGATCCAGGGTCTGGGCCCTTTGCCTCAGCCCTGCTCACAGTGTGATCCACCCCCCGGTTGCCACTGCTAAGGTCCAGGGCCAAGGGGCCACTGCCCAGAGGGCACTTGGGCAGGGATGCTGGACGCTGCCCTCCATCCTGCCTGCCTGGGAGCCCTTGGCAGTCCACTGCCCCCCTCCAGGCACCTGCTGCTGCCCCAAGAGAGGAGCCGCCCCGAGAGCCACACAGCCAATCAGGGCACCTGCACCCGGGAGAAGCGCGCAGGCCTGGGGTTGGAGCAGCTGTGTCCCAGGCCTGTCAGCAGCTCCTGACCAGGGCCTGGCAGGCTCTGCCTATGGCGGGTCAGCCCAGGGCACAAGGCAGGGCACGGGGTCCGTGTGCTCCTCCGCTCCCAGCCACAGGCACTGCGGGCTGGGACCCCATCAGAGACCTCTGCCCAGCTGCCTTCCTGGGTCCACTGGAGGAGGCCTCCTCTCCCTGGGCTCAGCTTGGCATTGGCCAGCCTTACAGTCCCCTGTGGCCTGCAGCTCAGGTCCAGAGCTTTTGGCCCTCAGCCTCTGGTGTGGAAATCAGTCCCCCACCCAACAAAGCTGGTCCACCCCTTCTCCCTGGCTCCACACAAGTCTCTGGTCCCCCACCCTACTCCCCAGGGGAGGCCAGGTGGGACCTGGAAGGATCGATTACCTGTGGTAGACCCTCAGCGACCAGCTGTCCATCCAGCAGTGCCCACTCTACGCTGTCCTGCTGTACCCTGGGCCTGGTGCCTGAGGAGGAGGTGGCCATCACCCAAAATAGGACCTGCCTGCCCCTCTGACCTCACGGGAAAGCACCTGCCAAGGGCTGAGTCTCACTAAGCGGGCAGCCACCGTCCTCTGCTGGCTGAGCAGGGCCACTGCAGAACCCCTGGCTTGACCGCGGGCAGGCACAGCTCCTGAGGATGCCCACCCCAGCCTGGCCAGGGCTAGTGGCCACGGGACTTCCTGGGAAGCCAGGCCGGAGGACAATAAAATCCTCCTGCTTTTCACGTGTGCCCTGGAGAGCGGTGCTGAGGCCAGTTGGCAGAGGCCCACCACGGGAAGATGGTGCCCAGGCCCAGCTCCCAGCCGCACAGAAATGGAGAGCTGGCCAAGGTGGCCCAGGGGTCCGGGCTCTGACGACACGGACAGGTAGAGGGAGAAGCCAGGTTCTGACTAGGAGGCAGGGGTGACCCCAGCAGCTCCAGAGGATTTCAGGGCCAGGCACTCGGGGCGGGTGGGCAGCTGCCCGTCCTGTGAGCCAGCAGCCTGAGGGGCTGCTTTCCCTTGCTCGGTGACCCCAGGCATCTCTCTGCCTGCTGCCAGCCTCTCTGGCCTTGGCTCCCACAGGTGGACTGGTGAAGTGTCCACAGGCTCCTCCTCCTCCTCCCCCTCCTCAGGGCACAGGGCCAGGAGATGTGGGGGCTGGGGCTCCTTCCAGGCCATCCCGATGTCCCWAGCCTTGGGACTCTGGAGGGCAGGRACCTGCCTGCCTCTTCTGAGGCTCACACTGTCTGGACTCTGGTCCACCCTTGACAGCAACTTCCACCCTGGGTGGGCAACTCCACAGGCCCCTCGGTCGGGCCCAATCCTGGGCTGCAGAGGCATGGGACAGCAGTCAAGGTGCCTCCTGGCACCTGGGACCTCAGTGTCCCTAACCCCAGAGGCAGGGCCGAGGGGCACGTGGCCTCGCTGGCAAGCATGGGGGCTGTGGGAGCCCACGAGGTGTCTGTTGGTTGGATGGTGCCCCCTGGAGTCCCGAGGAAAGCAAGGTCAGCCTCCAGGGGCACAAGGGCAGTTAGCTCTGAGCAAAACACTGCATGAGGGCCCTGGGGAGAGAGAGAGCCCCCAGGGTCTAGACCCCCGAACAGAGTCCCCAGGCGAAGAGCAGAGGTGTGACCCCACATTGAGAGGAAGCAATGACTGGAGGATGCATCATGCACAGGAGTCCCTCCAGGATCAGGGGAGGAGGCCTCATGGACAGGAGTCCCTCCAGCTCAGGGGAGGAGACCCCATGGACAGGAGCCCCTCCAG